AACTTATATATGCTGGTGGTACCAAAATAGTAAAAGACATAAAACCAAAACAAACATGTGAAGGATTTAACTCCAAAAACACATTAACAAAACATGTAATTAAAATTCTATTCAATATGTATGGTAACTAAAACAAAAAAATAATTTGACAATAGTAGTTTAAATCTTTATAAACATCAAACGCTTTACGGCTCTTAAATATCTTGGTAGTGTTTTAGATCCTCATTTGAATTTAATCAGTAATGTCAACAAAAATCTTCAAACAGCATCATAGAGTCCTTGTTGAGCGCATCTATTTCTTTCTACCCTTACAGAAAAATAGTTTTTATAACTTCATTATCTTAGTAATGGCAAAACATGGCGGAATAATTAATCTTAATCTATCAGCTAAGCAATAAGTGTATAAGTTTTTTTTAAACTAAAGTAAATTATACAAAATACAATCACAATATTACAGCACAATTTTTATAAAATTTAATAAAAATGCAAATGTGTGAGCTAGCTCATAAAACCTCAAATACATTACCAAACTATACAAATTTTTCATAAAAATTGAAGCAAAATAACACCTTGAACTGTAAATTACCCTAAATAAAGTGAAACTTTACACATAATGTCTTTTATTTTATAGGTGATTTGTTTTGCAAAAATTGAAAAAATAAAATAAAAAATGATTAATCTTCTTGAGTAGCCTCCATGACCTTGGAAGGTAAATACAGTAAAAAAAAAGCTAATGTTCCTAGAATTAATTTGAAATTGTGCGCAAAAGTTTTTTTGAGCAAAAAAAAATAAATGAAAATGTTCTGAATGAAACATAATATAAAACAATTTTTTATTTATAAAACTAAAAACAAACAAAAAAAACAATGTTTTAATAATCAGTATGTTTTTAATTTACAAAATTAAACCAGTTTCGTTTAAAGTAAGAATCATTTTTGCAGAATAAACTTTTAATTAAAAAATTTTTATACTATATTAATTTTAAATAGTTAATTTTATTAACTTTTAACATTTTTAGCATGAATAAAAACTAAAGTTATTAGGCTTAAACAAGGAAATCATAAAACAAGTTTGCTCACCTTATAAATAATGAATCCTATCAAGAAAATAACCATGTAAAGAATTTGAAATAAAGAAACATTATTTTGAAGCGCAACAATTAGAAATGCAGTACAGCACACTAATATCCAGTACTTAGCAAACACGCTCTTTATAAAATTGATAAACTCAGTAGCATGATTAGATCCAACAGGGTCAGCTGAACCACTAATATTGACTGTAGAAGTAATATTCAAAATTAATTTTAAAAAAACAAAAAATAAAAAAACAATATTACAATATGTATAACAAAAATAAATTTCACAGAAATTTTTCTTAATTATTATTCATGTAAATTGTTACTAACTTAAACAGTCATTTGTTTAATAAAAAATCATTTGCATGGCAAACAGTTAAAATGATAAAATAGAATTTATATTAACTTCTAAGTAAAACAGTTGCACAACTTGATAATAATTTGTAATTATCGTTTATAATTCTTTTTTAGTGAATGAAATTGGAACAGCACAAAAAACTGCAGCAAATCTCTGAACCCTTAAACCCAATAAGTAAAAAAATCTTTTTAATTTGCATAATTTCATTTGCATCACATTATTGTGTGATGCAAGTGAACTTATGCAAAGATTATGCTGATTAATTATGTATGTGTTAGTGCAGATTCATTGCAGTAACATATATATAATAACTCAGCAAATGTAATTTTCCATCATTTTAAGCACTTTGCAGATTGTAAATATTTCAAAACATTTGAAGCATTAAAATATTATTTAAATGTATTTAAAAAGCGTCCAAAGCAGCACAATCTTTAGTTGTTTGTATATTTAAAAAAAAAAAAACGTAAAGATAATATTCAAAACTTTATATTTGATTTCATACTATATTTCATCAAAAAATATAGCATTAATGAACTTTCTATTCATAAAAAATGCAAAAAAAAAAACAAATACAACCTCTTCTACGGATAGCATCCATAATTGGTTTTGCAAGTGAAGATAAAACTATTCCACTAGTCATTGAATCATTATTTATTTGAATAATTTTTTTATCACTTATATGCTGTCGTAAAGTGATAAGAAATACACCAGCAAACAGAGTCTAAAAAAATATAAATATTTTCATAAAAGTTTATAGAGATGAATACTAGAATATTTAACAAAGAAAATATACTATACTACAAAACAAAATTCTATTATGCAAAATTGTAACATAAAAATAAAAAATAAAAAACTACTTCAACAAACCTGCAATCCAATATCTAAAACTGGATAAGGACGTGCTTTAAACCCTAACTCAGATAAGTCAAAACTACCTTCTTTTGTTGGAAGCTCATTTTTTAGATTCATTCCATAAATATATTGAATAACTAGTAAAACATCTGAGTATAGAACCAAATAAGGAGATGATGCCATACAAAACCAGTGAGAAAATGGAGTTATCCAACTAATACATGCCCAAAGTAGTAAAACAAACGTCAACCATGAATGATAAGTAATACTCCAAGTCTAAAATTGAAATCAATTTAACAAGTTTAAAATAATGATTTGCTTGTTAATACTGTAAATAAATAATAAATCAAATCTATTAAAAAAAAAAACTGTTTTGAAGTTAATTTGGAATGTAACAAATGTAGATTTATAGTTTTCAGATAAATGTTTATATAACAATTAAATTATATAACATTCAGGATTTGACAGGAGTAAATGACTGCACAGGCAGCAAAATGTCTGCATAAAACAGACTTTTTTTTATTTCAAGATAAGTCAAATAGACAAATTCTCACACTTTTTTTTGCCAATTAGCAAAAATATTTGTCAAAAAAATATCAGAAAAACAACCATTGGCAGCCTTTTTTTTAATTTTTTCTCATTCTAATTTTCTAACATTTTCAGAAAAACAAATAAAGCATTTTACCAAACATCTCCATTTTAGTATATTTTTTATATCATTGTTTTATACAACCAATTGATTGATAAAAAAATATTTAGAAAAATTTCTTTATTTCTTTTGTTTATTTATTTATTTATTTTTAATTCTTTTTTTTTTTTCTTTTGATTTGATTTTTATTTGATTTTATTCTTGATTATACTTTAATATTTATATTTACAAAAATGTATTTCTTTTATTTTTTGTAAATGAAATGTTATCCAATATGAAAATTTTAAAAATCTTAACAAAATAACTCCAAGCGAGAGAAATACTAGCCATGAATACTTAAGTCAAAAATGTACAAAAAATAACAATTAAAATGAGTCATTTCTTTTTTCATGTTATAACAAAATTTAAAACTTTTGATTTTATTTCTGATATTAGATCTAAATCACAAGCACTAAAATGAAATAACAGTTAAAAAAATTACAAGAACTAAAAACAAAAAACAATACCATCATAATTATGAGAGCAGCAACATAGCTTTGCCTCATGAAAAAATACATGATACTTTTAAATGTGCCATGGCCAGTGTCGTCTGATTGTTTGCTGGTTGAAACTTTTCCAATTGTATCATCTTCAATAGTACCATATAAACTATGCATTGGATTATTGTACAGAAGAGACTAAAAATATGTTAATAAAAATTAACAATTTAAAAATCAGTTTAAAGCAATGATTTATGTGAGACATCAATAAAAAATACATGATAAAAATGTGATTTATATGCTTATTCTATTTAAAACTTTAATGTGTGATTCTAAATTGACAAAGAATAGATGTACAACACACATAATATTACTAATTACAAAGCCGTTAATCAAAATGATCAAATATAAAATTATCATCAAATCTGGTCTTAAAACAAATACTGTGATCAGGCTTGTGGAGCCAAATTTTTTTTTTACGGCTCTGCTCCAGCTCCTAAAAAATGTCCGGCTCCGGCTTGGCTCCCAGCTCGGCTCCAGCTCCCGTACTTTGTGAACAAAAATCGCAAGTTTTGGAATACTTTTTTCAATTACATTTGCGAACCCAAATTCAAACCAATTACAGTAAATAATTTTTAACCAACTTTCATGATTACAAGATTAAGGTATTACTATCACTACTCTACTACCAGATATTATATTTGAAAAGAAAAATGTTTTGTGTAAATATACATCTTTTTCTATATATTATTTACCAAAACAAGAACTTTTAGTTCTAATTCTACCCAGTGCGCAGGGTACCTAAAAAAGAGTCTTTTTTACGTCTCAAAGATGTCCAAAACATTCAAAAGATGTTTAAAAGATATCTTTCTTAGGTCCTTACTGAGTCCTGTGCCTACGACTGATTCACTGGGTACCCAGTGAATCAGTCAATCAAAAATAAAAATAAAAATATGAAAAAAATAATTAAACTGCAAAAACTTTAACATTTATCTAAGAAACTTGAAGATTATAAAAATGCTTTCATTTTAATATTTCTCATTATTTCAAATAAATAAGCGAACATTTACACTAATCGACTACATCAATCTCTGCACAGTGTCTTTTGCAATTTTTTTTCCTGCTAATTTCCACTCTCTAATCAAACCACTAACTGTACTTATTGTTTTACCACACTTATGCCAATTTAAGCTAATTCCACCTAAGCCAATTCCACAAAATATCTCAAAGGGACGGAACTCTGGTCAGTTTGATGGATTCAAGCTTTTTGGTATGAATTTGATGTTTTGATGTCTATTGAATTGTAGCACTCTATGGTCTTCTTAGAATAATGAAAATATGCAAGATCAGGCCAGGACCAACAGGGGATATAGTGACTTCTATAAAATGGCAATATCTTTGCAAGAATTCCTTGATGCAAACATCCAAGTTTAAAGTTGACAATGTGACAAAAACTCAAGATCTCAAACCACAGCTGCATATTGTTTGCCACAAAAGAAGTTTCTTACCAAATTTATAGAATGTTTTATAAATGAACTTGTTGCTGACATGTCCATGAACAACTGAAGAGTAAAATTTTGGACCAGGGAGATGTTTGAAATTACATTTCGTACATTTCATCATCCATAATTATAATGCCATTAAATTTTGTAAACACTTCGTCATTAAGTTTTCGAGCTCAGGTTTTAGAAGTCAGTGATTGCTTATTTGATCGGTTTTGATATTTAATGGCTCAATAAGACTTGAAATTGTTAAATTTCTTAACTTTCTTAATAAAAAAACTCTGAAACTTTACACCTTTTTGGCTAGTTCTCTGTTCAATAAGCCGGGATTTTCTGTGAATGATTGTCGAATACTAATTGCTGCTTTCTTATCCTTTAAGCCATTCTTTCTTCCAGATCCTTTTACTTGCTCTATAGATAGAGAGCTCTTGTATTGTTTTATGATCATATAAACAGTAGTTTTGCTAGATTCAGATGCTTTAGCAATTGAAAGTAACAATGCAGATGCATTTTGTAGATAGTTGTACAGAACTTTTTTTTTCTTTTTTTGTAACATTCCATGACATTTTATTTAAGAGAAATATTTGTACTCATTTTTTGATGCGCTTAATTAATACTATCATTACTTAATGTAATTACGCGGAAAAAAAAAATTAATGTGTTAGTGACAAGTTTTAAAACAAAATTCATCGTTCTAAATTTAATGATTGCTTGCTTTAGTATAATTTTTAAGATATGAATAACCTTTGATCGTTAAATCCTGCACCAAAAATATAATATAAAGCAATATATGTAAAACTGTAAGAATGCTTCCATTTATAATTTACTTTTTTTTTTTTCTTTTTAATAAAGCATATTAGGAAATGCTATTAAAAGATAGTATTTTGTTGTGTACAAAATCGTTCGTTTTTATTATGTTTTGGCAAGACTGTAACTGTTAGAAAAATATTTTTAAAAAATAATAGAAATTCAATAAATAATTCATTTAACAAATTAATTAAACTCATGCAATGAATAAAATTTGCCGATAGTAAAAAAAAAAAAAACATACATTCTATTCCTTTAAAAAAATAAGAGAGCCGAGAGCCTCTCTCTGCGGCTCCAGCGCCACCAAAAAACATTGGCTCCCTGACCCCGGCTTGGCTCCACAAGCTTGACTGTGATAATAAATTATGATAAATGGGTATTAAGTAAATCTCATTATCCAAAGTTTTTTTTGTATTTTAAAAAACTGAAATACTCTGATTTTTACATAATTTGTTTAATTTAAAAAAATTGTCCTCATAAATATTTTTATGAAGGAAAGAAAAATCCATAATATTTGTATTAAAAATGTAAGGTAATACAAAATGTGTAGTGGGGTTTTTTTTATACCTTATTTTTTAGAGGCATTAAAATTTGTTTCTAAGCAAAGGCTGGAAAGAGTTTGCTTCCTGTTATCAGTACTATTTAAAATCTAGTAATATATACATTTTTTGTCTTTTATATAGTTGAAGGTACCTTAGTTACTGTTTTAGCTCAACTGCAATCTACTTTATATGTTTGTGTTCTATTCTCTTGCTCAGTGTTGACTATCATAACATAAGTTGCTATCTGTTTGTGTTCTGTCTGAATCTCTGGCAAGGTGTTCACTCCCCAGTAAGTAGCTATCTGTGTGTTTGTATCTTGTCTGTTTATGCTAAACATCTGGCATGGTGTTTACTCACTTGTAAGTTACTTTAGGCATGTATGTGTTCTGTTTAAATATTCTGTTTGGAACTCTTTCCCATCTTCATGTTTTCCTGACTCATTCTGTTTGGAACTCTTTCCCATCTTCATGTTTTCCTGACTCATACAACTTTCAACTTTTAAAGTCTTCTGTCAACCGTTTCCTTGCTTTATATCTCTATTTCTAGTTACTTCCAACTTAATTGTGGTCGCTTGCAGTCTTGTTGGGAGTGAATCAGAATTTTTAAAAAAAAAATCATAACGCAGTAAAGAATATAAGAAAAATAAAGAAAAGAAAAAAATATATATATATGAAACTCTTTCTGACTCTTAACTTTTATTTTCAGATGAGATCTGGTTTATAATTAGATGACATTTTCAAAAATGTTATATTTTATCTTTTATATTAATACAATTAATCTCTTTTTAAATGATAATATATTTGTATATGTTGAACTTTTTAAATGATAATATATTTGTATATGTTGAACTTTTCAAATGATAATATATTTGCTTATGTTGAACTTGATAGAGAAGGCTGTGAATAAACTTTTTTTTTCAAAATATAAATCAATATAATTATATATTTACAATTTTTGCTGACCCATAGTGGGTCAGCATCTTAAGATGAAATTAAAAATGTTACAAAAAATTGTTACAAAATTACATAAATAAAACTGTCAAAAAAGAAGACATTACAGGCACAAATAAAAATAGTTTTTATTAAATAATATACTGTCAGTTGAAATTGATTAATAATATATTGCAAATATATAATTATATCGAAATATATTTACAACCAAAACAGTTTATACGCAGCCTTCTTTATTAAATTAAACATATATAAATATCGTATATGAGATTCCCAAAATATATAAAGATTTATGCATAAAGAGATTCCCAAAAAAAAAACAGAGAAAAACAAAACAATAAACTTGAATATACAAAATGAAAGCGAAAAATCTTCTTCAAAAAAAGAATTTAAAGGTAAAATTATAATGAATAAAAAAATTTAAAGGTAAAATTATAATGAATAAATACAAGAGAACTTGAAGACCATTTTGGTCAAATTTTAACTAATGCCATTATATTATTTAATGGCATTAGTTTATCATAACTTTATGCCTGTTATGTCTTCTTTATTGACGGTTTATGTAACTTTGTAACAGTTTTAGTAATGCTTTTTATTACACCTGATGATGCTGACTGCTATAGGTCAGCAAAATATTGCAAGTATATAATTATATCGAAATATATTTGCAACAAAAAAGTTTATACGCAGTTTTCTTTATCAAATTCAACATATATAAGTATTGTGTAACAAGAATATGAATTTACAAGATAATATATTTTGCATTTTCATTGATGATAAAAATAATGACGTGAAAGCCACGTCATTATTCACAAACATATGCCTTTTGTTTTGCAAAAAAATTGGCCAGAATTAGAGCAGAGTTATAATATATACAAACTGCGCTTTCTTTGTACTAAAACGCTCAAGAATGATGTTGTGGTTCTTTTTGTTCTTTTTTGTTGTTGTTTTACTACTATTTAATGATCACAGTTCATTTTTAAAAACTCCTAATTAAAAAGAACTGCAAGTTTTTGTCTAATATAAAACATTTATTTTGAAACTTGGTAGCTAATGAATTCTGAATTAATTTTTGACATATATTACAAATACAAATTAATTATGGCAACTTGTTTTTACAACAATAAATTTATATTAGATTAGGTATAATAAAAATACATAACTTTGATTTAAATGACAAAAAACTAATTAAGTTTTTAAAGCAAATTAAATTTTAGCTATTTCATAATACAAAATTTTAAATAATAAGAAAAAAACTGCAATTTCACTAGATTAGCTTCAAAAAATACACACAAAACTTGATTAAATTTTATCTGAATTAAAAAGGATTATCTTACTTGTACTTAGTCTAAGCAAATTCATTTACTGTATTTTTATCCTCTACTGTCATCATGTCAAATGATGACAGTAGCCATCTACTGCAATCATGTTAAATGGTGACAGTAGAGGTTAAACTTAAAGATAAAGATAAAATGTTACATGATGTTAAAAAGTCAAAAATGCATGTAAAATTAAACATAAAGATTAATAGAATTGTTATTATTATAAAAAACTGCTTGTAGCGATATTTTTATGTATCAGTAGATATAATAATTGAGATAAACACAATAGAAATTTGAGAATAGCAAGATAGAAGTTTGGAAATACAATAAATTAAGAAGTAAACATTACTACCTGATGCTTCACTGTTATATATCATAACACTCTAGACATATGCAGAGAACAATTTTTTTTTTAATTTTATTGATGCACCTCATGCTGTTAGAAACAATTTTTTTTTAATGGCTTAGACACACCAAACCCCACCCCTGACCCCTTAATGCTTCTTCTGCTCTACCAACTAATTCTATCTTATCTCTGAGACTTTAATTTTAACTTTATCATTTTTACTGCTATTTATTTAAATCTCTTTTTTTTTACTTTTTCTCTATATTCAACAAAAGTACACTTTCTACACTTAAAAGCAACAATATTATAAAAACATTTTATACTACATCTATTGTGATATATAACATCTATTGTGATTCTATTGAAAATCTATTGTTTATTACAAACAATAGATTTTCCTTTAACTCCAGATGACTACTTTCTAGTATTTCCTACTTGCTTATGACTTTACAATAACTTTAGTTCTATTTATACATATCAAAAGCCATTAAACTACAATAAATCAATTCTCAATCTCAGTAAGCTCTCAAGACTATTGTTTAGGTATTGTCCAACTTCCAACTTCAAAAGGAGTTGTCCAAATAAAAAAATGTGGGGAACAACAATTGGTGCATCCTGACATATAATTGCTAGTATTACATGGGGAACTAATGGGGGAATAGCAGGCGAGATTAGTCAGTAGTCTAAAAATTTAGCAACTTCAATATTCAAATGTGACTAATGTGTAGTAGACAAATAGATAAAACACATGTATCTAACTATATGAATGCAATAATTTTTTAAATTTTGTCTTAAATGTTTTGTTGTGTCAAATGTTAGGTTGTTCTGTAGAATTAAAAAAAATTTATTTGTTTGGCAACAAATATTTGCATAGCATGGATTTTATTCCCATCATCTTCAATTTTTGGATCAAGATTGTTCAAACATTTTGACATTGCTTGAATAAACTCACCTTACAGCAATATTTTGCTGGCCAGCAGTTGGCTAAGAACTACTTATAAGCAATATTTTGCCAGGTGAAAACAATAGAGAATGAAAATATATTTGGACCATACACAATATTAAACCCAACATTCAATCAATTAAGTCTTATTAACTTGAACCAGGAGAAATTTGTGCAGTGTGAGTAATGAAATCATTCAAAACCTTTAAATTAATCCCCAAGTGCTGAGACAAGTTCATATTTTAAACCTTAAAAAATAACTTTAGAGTTATTTAAACTTACCAAAATAAATTCTTAATTATCGAGAGTATTTTTTAATTTTACCTTTAGTTAATTATTGAGATAAAAAATTTCTGGCTTGGTAGATTTATTTTTTAAACAAAATCTGGTCAGATTATTGCATTTATATTTGACATCAATAAAAAACGTTGTAAAAGTTAAATTTTGTTTTATTTTTTAAATTTTCCTTTGTAATACTTATATAAAAACCATAAGATTCATAAGTAACACATAAAAAGTCTTAAACTTGTTTTATTAAAAACAAATGTAGAAAAACTACTAAATGTAATTTAAAAAGGATAATAAAATTGCTCTGACATTTGTTAAAAACAAGTAGCTCAAAAAAATTTAAAAACTAAAATTATTTTATTTTTGTGATTTAGTGAAAAATGCAGCCGTGGCGCAGTGGTAGCACACTTGCCTCAGAAGCGTAAGATCCGTGGTTCAAACCCCACCACTGGGCAAGTTTTGCAACATCGGTTAGGAAGGAGGGGTGAACTTCCTATTAAATGCTCTTTCGCGGTGCTCTGTGATAAGACCGTAAGGACTTCTTGGGGCACCTTAATTAACTTAAAAAAAAAAAAATACATTTGATTTACTGATTGTCAGTAAAAAATACTGTGTATTTTCTTTAAATAAAAATAGTTTTTTGAGAACAGCTTTAATTACACTTTTCATTTTGTCATATCTGTTATGTCATTTCAGATATTTTAATCAAACCAGATATTTTCATAACAACAACAAAAAAAAAAACTATGCAATTGTAAGCCTAAAATCAGATTAAAAATAGGCAAAAAAAAAACAAAGCTGAAATGTTTTTTGTTATTATCTCGATAAATATTTTGGTAAGTTTAATAAACTTAAAACTTATTTTCTAATGTTTATTTATGAATTAAACACTACTGACACTTGGGGATTCCTTTAAGAAAAAAAAGTAAAAATGTTAATAATAAAGCATTTTAATTTTTAGTCAATATAATTGAAAACAAATCTTACTGTAGTCTGTGGACTGCTGAAGCACATAGACCAGCAGCTTTTAGCTTCAATTTTACATTTCTAAAAATATTAACATTTATTTTTAAAATTTCGTTAACTGCTTAGATATATTCTCAAAGAAAAATTTCAAAAAAAAATTTAATTTAGAAATAAGGAGAATACTCTATTACTAAAAAGTTAATTATGTATATAGATACATGGATCCATATATACATACATACATACATACATACATACATACATACATACATACATACATACATACATACATACATACATACATACATACATACATTACTAACATACATACATATATACATACATACATACATACATACATACATGCATACATACATACATACATACATACATACATACATACATACATACATACATACATACATACATACATACATACATACATACATACATACATACATACATACATACATACATACATACATACATACATACATACATACATACATGCATAGATACATACATACATACATACATACATACATACATACATACATACATACATACATACATACATACATACATACATACATACATACATACATACATACATACAGGCTTGGACAGGAATGGCGTGTGATCGAGCGCTATTGCTGACCACGCAAATGATTTTATTTTTTGACAACTTGACCACGATTGTTTATATGTTTTGATGATTTAGAAATTTCAGAAATGCTCTGTATGTAGAAACGCTAAGCTAAACTTAAACTAGGAAAAAAATTTAAAAAAAAAACTAATGAAAAAAAAATTCCTACCAAAAAAAGGAAGGAAAAACAAATTCATAACGAAAAAGAAATTATATAAGCACTAAAATGAAAATAAAAACTTAAATAAAAAACTTAAAGCGAAATTTTTTGTTACGTTTTTAATTACGTATGAAATAAACGTTATCTTTTTAAACGGTATTAAAGTTACGCAAAACGTTTTTAAATTAAGTAATAAATTACTACTAATGATTGGTTTAATAAATGAACAAATTTTAATAAATTAATTAAAAAGTGTTGTATATAATTTTTTTAAATTGTATAAACATTTATTTTTACAAAAAAGTTGCAAAAAAAAAAAAATTGTTTAAAAATATAACGTAGTTTTAAATTAGTAATTTTAACTAAATTCATGCTATAATTAGTAAGTCTAATTAAAAAAAGGATTTCAACTTTTTTATTCGTTAAAATAGAAAAATAAATAAAATGCGCTTGCGATTTAAATAAAATAAACTCCCAACAAGCATTTTAATTTAATTTTAATGTGAGCTTTACAACTTTATTAATAAGCGCTTTGCGCAACGAATTTAAAATTATTATAAATGATTTAAACTCATTAATTCCTAACAAAATTGAAACAAACAAAAAAAATGTTTACAAAAAATAAAATGTTTATTTAAAACATTTTAAAAAATCATAAGTTTAATCAAATTAATCGTAAGTTTAAAAAAATTAATCATATGAACATTAAAAAATGCTTTAAAACTTTTTCATTAATCAACAAAATACATAAGTAAATAAAATTATTTTATACTCTTGAGTAATCCGCGTAAAATGTGTAAAAGCAGTTTGTAGCAATGTGTAGTCACAAAAGCTTTTAAACTTATTCACAAATTAAAGTAACTTAAAAAAATTCTTTCTAAAAATAATGGTTTAAAAATCTTTTAGGAAGACATGAGAAAATAGTTTCAAACATTTAGATTTATCATAAAAAATACATGCCTACATAAAAAAACTTATATGTAACGTTTTTTATTAATTTACACAAGCGTTTATGTAAACAATAACTATAATTAATTTTATGGTTTTATTTAAAGCCTTTTCGTTAAATAAAAAACTTTAGAAAAGATCAACGATTAAAAGATATTTATAACATAACACTTTTTTTATTGCATTCAAATTGTTAAAACATCAAAATAGCCGTGGTCAAGTTGTAAAGAAATAAATATATTAGCGTGGTCAGTTACAGAGTGCGATCGCACTCCATTCCTGTCCAAGCCTGTACATACATACATACATACATACATACATACAAACATACATACATACATACATACATACATACATACATACATACATACATACATACATACATACATACATACATACATACATACATACATACATACATACATACATAGGGTATCTTAGGGTATGGCGAAAGTTCAGTTTTTTTTGTTATGGGTCATAAAAATTGTGTATAGTTATCATAAGTACTACTATCAAATATGAGAATGATTGTGATAGATTTTATTTATTCTGAGCTTTTTTCTCAAAATCATTTTTTATCAGATTAGCTTGCAGTGTTTTTATTAGTTAAAGTAGTGCAAACAACATGTATTAAATTCATTAAAATTGTATTAAATTCACATTTCATTTAAAAATGATACTTTGGCTGTGTTTTTTTTGGATAATTTAATTAAACTTCATAAACTTAACTTCTTGACTAAACAACTAGCATAAAAAACTTAATAATAAGTAACAATGTTCAATTGTTCAACATAAGTTGGACACTATTTACATTTACACTTAAACACTGCTTTAATCTTAAATCAATGTGTGACTACTTTTATAATCTAAATTATATATATATATATATATATATATATATATATATATATATATATATATATATATATATATATATATATATATATCATTCCATGCCAAATGGACCATAATATTAAGATTTCAACATGGACCACTACAGATTTTGATGAAGCTTGGTGGGTTGGTTAATATCAATGAGAAGAGCAATTCCTGAAAATTTCGGCATAAAATGTTTTGCAGTTTAGAGATATGATCATATGTTTTGTTCATACTTTGAAGCTCTATATTTTAAAAAACAAATTTCAGAAAACCTTTTTAGTTTTTTTAATTGTATACAACTCAAGATTAACTTTAATAAAACTTTGACATTGAATTTCAAATGTCATATTTTGTTTATGATGGCTACCTAAAAAACCTCAAAAATTGTTTGCAAATATAAGAAGTTGATTTTTGTTGAATCTCAAGTTAATCATGTTATTTGCTAAGCATATTGATGTTCATTGCCGTATTTGTCAATATCTATTAAATTGGCCTACAAATTACTGAAAACTATAAAATTATATATAAAAAGGTTTGATATAAATAACTGCAGTATTTTACAATTTTTTCTTGATTTAAAGACGTTATTGAATAATGAAAGGCAAAAAGTAAGAAATTTTTCTAAATTTGAACTATTTAAAAATAAAGTTAGCAATAAAAATAAAGATCGAATTGGTATGGAATTGCCGACATTTTAAAAGATTTGTTATTAAAAATTAAATGCAAAATTCAATGATATTTCCTTTTTATCCATATCTAATTTAGCAAATTTAGCAAATTAAATTAAAAATCAGCATAATCAAAAAATTTTGATAATAAAAAAATTTAACAGTTCATCAAATATCTATAATTCCAATACCAGTATATAGAAAACCGGTATCCCCGTATACCTACTGTTTTTCCAATACCGATACCGAGCTCTCAATATCAGCATATACCGGTATTTCAGTTATTTTTCTCATCAGGCAGAAATTGTTCACTGAGACTTCGTGCGTGTTTAGACACAGAGATTTTTAGAGAGTAATAAGCGCGAAAATATAAACAAAGAAAATTCTATTATAAAAATGGATGGAAAAAAAGACTTTCTTAGATGTAGAAAGCCTTTTTTAATACTACATAAATTACATTTATATTTTGAAATATTAAACTCTTTTAATATTATCTAAGCAATAAAATATCACCAAAGAGAACTTTGATTATTGAAATAAAAAAAGCCTTTTTTTAATATTTAGTTACGTGTTTGTATAAATTTTTCTATAATTAAATAATTAGATATTTTTTGGAGAGAATTTTTTTTTCACTGTTTTTTGTAACTTTGTTGTGTTGTGCTACAACAAAACAAAGTGTTTGTGTTTTACTTTATTGTGCTCGTTTTATATTTATTTGCAAATAACAACAACAAAAAATAAAGACAAAAAAATAAATTTAAAAAGAATAAATATTTAACACACATGTATTCAAAGACAATATAAAAAACAACATCTCTATTTAATATAGAGATGTTATGTTTTTTCATATAAGTTCATATATGATCTGAATCTAATATATATTTTTGATATTTATATATTTTGTATTTCAATATTATTTATCATATTTCGAATTCTAGTATTCAATAAACATGCTGCCCTAGCCATGGCTGATACAACAAAAGTATTTGAATATTTTGAAAAAAACCTGGACTTCTGTAAAAAATAGTTGTTATTTTAACATAAATGTTTATTCTAGAAACAGATCTTAGAATTTGGGTTTAGCACAAGTTAATGGACATTTTCCAGCAGAAATGTGTGTTAAGTTAATTGACAACTTACTGAAAGAACACAACTTAAAAATTGATTGCGATATGGTATGTATTACGGCAGATGGTGCTTTGGTAATGAAGAAAGTAGGACAATTAATGTCCATTGACCAACAACTGCAAGCAACCAATATCAAGTTGGGAGTTACTAGAAAAAAAGAAAAGAGTTATGGAACAAAAAAACGGTTGACCGAAGACCTAAAAAGTTGAAGGTTGTATGATTCAGGAAAATATGAATATGGAAGAGAGTTTTTTTAAAAATTAGATGAATAAAATTTGAAGCATGCAGGGACAGATACAGTAAAAGAATAAGACTTTGATGAATGACTAGTAAACCGAGAATGAGTTTTAGTTGATGGAACTAGAGATGATAGCTCCTTTGAGCAGCAACCATGATAGCATTTGTAGAAAAGAGAAAGAGATGCAACTTTACGACAATGGGAAAGAGGCTCAAGCAAGACCAGGTCCAACTATGTTAAAAATGCGTTTTTGGTCCTTGTCTAGATGAGAAAGAGCATTATTAGACGAACTAGTCCAAATAAATACAAAAATATTCCATACAGGTATGAATAAAAGATTTGTAGAGATAGAGAATGGAATCAGGGGATTAGATCAGGGAATCAGGGGATGGATCAGTTAATGGATCAGGGAATCAGGGGATATAGACTGTTGTCATTAATTTTATATATTATTTAAACTTAAATAATAAAGTTTATGAATCGTTTATTTGTTACTTTGGGTTTTAATAAATGTTTTTTAAGTATTTGTAAATACCGGTATTAATACCGGTACATCGGTTTTCCCTAAATCTAATCTTTCCCTTAATTTTTTGTTCGGTATTGGAAGCCCTACTATAACTAATACTGTCAGTTAATAAAAGTAATTGTTAATAAATACTTTTTTCGACGGGAAAACAAAAAAATGTCATACCAGAGAAGTTAAAAAATAGTTCCCATTGTTTAAATAAAAATAAGTAAGATTCAGAATATATAATACTGTGCTCTCTTGCACTAAAACGAGAGACCGTATATATACCATTCTATATGTATATAAAGCATATACACAAACCATAATCAGCTGTAATTTTATCCCATACATACAACAAACACGCAAACACATATATATGTATCTATATAAATTTTTATAAAAAACCATACCTTATTGTATTTGAGACGAATTTCTACAGCTAAAACCCAGTACAAAACAAACAAAACAAGAGGTTGTATATAAAAAGGCCATGTCATAGAAGTGTTAATTAATAATTCCCTGCTCAATGAACAATTAGCATTTTTGATGATTGATTGAAGACCAAGTAATCTAAAATAAAAAATTAATGATGCTTTTTAAACAATACTGTTGCTTGTTGCATTTTAAAAGCCTATTGCTGCTTTTGAAACACTCTGTATTTATCCTTAAAACATTTTGAACCGTAAGACTGACAGTTAAACTTAACGTTTTGTTTTAACCACGAAAAAGTAGCCTCCTCCACTATAGTGGCTCTCTTGGCCTTAAGGAGGTGAATAACATCAAATAAGTAAAAAATAAATATAAAAAGATAAAATCAAAAATTCATCACTTTTAAAATTTATTCATACTTTTTGAGATTTCAAATTATTAAAAACATACAACACATTACTACAAAATGCTTCTTTTTTGGGGTTTTTTTTTTGTGTGTGCTTTAAGGCATTAATATGACCCCCTCTTTTGACCAGGGCAAAAAAAAATTTTCTCATAAAATTTTATGCAGCCAATGTCTCATATTTACTAAACCAACAGTTAATGTAAAGAAAATATAAAGGGTGTACATAATTTACAACAAATCATTTGTATGTAGAATAGCTCTGTTACATATAGAAATACTAAAATCATTACAGAAAGTTTTATTCTAAAAACTTTCCATTTAGTTAAGAAATATTTGGTATTAGCTAAAATCTATGAGAAATAGTTTTGAACTTGTATATATTTTTATATACATCATAATTAACAATACCTTATATATTTTCTTTATATATGCAAAGTATATATATAAAAAATAAAAGATATAGAAATATATAATATATATTTTAAATTATAATTAATATATATTAAAATAAATTATAAATTCTGTTCATAATGAAATCTAATATATGTTAAAAGTTTTTCATTAAACAAAAAAAAACCAAATTGAAAACAAAAAAACAAAAGTTTCAAAAATCAATTTAATGATTTGTTTAAAAAAAAAAGAAACAATCCCTGCAAGCACAGACATTCGCATAACATCTATGCGGCATTTTATAGGCAACACAAATCCTAACAGACGTTATGTGCCCACTGGGATATTAATTATAAAATTTTATTTGTATCATTTTTTATCAAAAAATTAAAAATATTTAACTAATTTGATTTAATAAAATAATTTAATTAGTCTAAAAAAATAATTTACAACTAATAATAATGCAACATGATGAAAAGTTGCAGTAGTTTGAAAAATATGAGTAAAACCAATAGCAATTAATTTCACTTTGGCAGCTAATGAATTAATAAATTAAAATTACTATTTTATATAATTATACTGATTATCACTAATTATATTAGACAGCTTGTTTAAATTTTCTAGGTAAATAAAATTAAATTATAAATTATAGATATTTATCAATATTAGTTTTGAATAAGTTCAAGCTTTCGCTTTTGATGATAAAATAAGGTTGTTTGTTCCACATTGACAAGATTCTATTGCTTAAGAATTGATGACCAAGATTGCAGTTTTTAACTATTTTTTCTTCAGATTTTAATATTATGGTCCCTTGCGTTGGGCTTATATAATGCAAAATTTAGTTCTATATATATATATATATATATATATATATATATATATATATATATATATATATATATATATTTAATTAATTTGTGCATTTGAATTAAGTCCTCTCTTTTATGTCATTTTTTCAGTGTGCCAAGTATTTTAATTCTTGTTTTATAACTTTCTTTTCAAATCTGAGGTATCTATTTAATGGCACAACATTTCAATGTTCCAAGCATTAAAATGTTGCAAAGATTGAATAAGCTTTTGATGTACAACTGGTCATGTGACTTTTCCATTTGAGATTTAACGACATTGTAATTCCAAGATTTTTTTCAGTATCAGAGGCTGCTATTATTTTGTTACGTAGTTAATAAGTGTAACGATGGTTATTTTTTCCAAAATGCATGATACAACATTTTTCACTATTTAAATTGTAATTGCCAGATCTCAGACCATTTGAAGGCTTGATTAATTTCATTTTGAAGCAATTTAATATACTATTTGTAAATAACTTAATTATATATGTTATGTTCAGATATCTTATTTAATACTTTCATGTTTTTTATAACATTTTGTAAAGTACAACATTTACTATTCATGTAATAAGTTTATATACAGTAGCAACTGAAAGTTAGCTTTTTTGTTATATTTAAAACAATATTGTTAATATAATGACAAATCTCAACATTTTTATGAGGATTTCTTTTATTTTAAGTTATAAATCTGCACATAATGCTAGAACTTGGCTAAAAAAACTTTTTGCCCATATGACAGCATTACAACTATACAGATTGATGTTTTAATCATCCAAATTAAAACATCAATCTGTATTTTGTTCCAACTTTTATAATTAGCTCAAACAAATCCTGATTAATCAGCTTACAATTGCTAATTTTACTTTCAATATGCTCCCATTTCCATTCATTTCTATTGAAAATTGTTGTGCAGCATTACTGTTATTAGATGCTTGCACAATTAACTTTTAATAGCCTTGCTAAATATTTATTATGTTACATTTCCAGAAATTGATTATTCAATGATTCAATAAAAATGTGCACTCTGAAAAAAAAAAATTTCTTTCAGAAAGCACATTTTTTGAAATTCTTAAAAACGTTTTTCAAGAACCAAGTTTTCCAAATACATTTGAGCCTATTATTTCCTTTCTTTTAATAGAATTTTGAGTTTTTTTTTATGCTTTTTTTTTAATTAATTTAAAAGACCAGAAATATTTTGAAAACTTAAAATTATTTTTTATTTTTAATTGTTAGACTGCCTGTCCAAACCATACCCTCAGTCAATGTTGCAGCATTCTTTGCATCTGCTACCTATTTTCGAGTCAATGCACCAACACTCCTTACATGTTCTACCTATTTGTCAGTCAATGTAGCAGCACTCCTCACATGTTCTACGTAATTGTCAGTCCATGAAGCAACACTCCTCAAATGTTCTAGCTATTTGTCAAATTAATTTACCAGCACTTTTTTTGTGACAAAGATTTAAGTTTCCAAGTACGATTTATTAAAAAGTATATATCGTTGCGCTTTCACTTGCTTTATGACAAAAAAGTTAAATGTACGCTTTATAAACATTTTTGATGCAGTGTTACAACATGTTTACAAGGAATTTAAATTTTTTATTCAAAATTTTTTCTAAATTATAAGAAATTTATGTTTGCACTCTTTTGATATCACACAATCTGTTAAGCATACAAAACTGATGCAACTATTATAAAATATTGTTTATCTAAACTATTTATTAAGGCTCAAATTAAGAGATTGCGAAATGCAATATCCTAAAATATTTCTGGTCATTAAACTCTTAGTTTATTAAAAATTGTGAACTGCAAAAGAGTTATGAGCTTACAAGTTACAATTTAATTTATAAGAAAATATTAAATAAGTTTAAAGATATAAAAGTATTTTATATTTTACTTAACGAATCCTTTTATTTAAAATATTTGATCAACGCTAAATTCTTTAAGACTGTTGTGATTAGCGGTTTAAGACTTTAAAAATGTTGTGATTAGCGGTTGTTTTTTAATAATTATAATGTACTTTATCTTGTTTTATTTTTCTAGTTTTATCTGATGATTTTATAAAATGAATTAAAACATTAAGGTTTAAATCATTATCTTTAATAATAATAAAAATAATAGTAATAATATAGTTTTACAATAAGATTTTATATAATAATTCAAGAAAAAATATAAATACTTTTTATTAGAAAACAGCTATTGAGTTTAGCAATTAAAACAGACTTTTACGATTTTAAAAAGCTAAAAATCTAAAGACCGGATGCATTTCCAGATATCGCAATTTGCAAGCACTTGATTCGAGCCCTGCTATTAATTTTTACAAAAAAAACTTATAAATATTAACAAAGCCATTGCAAGAGTTATATTGCTTCAAGCATAAATTGTAATAATTATATCTATAGAAAAAGTTTTTAACTAATTTTAATAATTAATTATATCCATAGAAAAAGTTTTTTATTTAATTATAAAAAAATAAACTCTTTATAAGATGTCATTTAAAGTTTGAATTAATTAATTTTTTTTGTTTGTTCAATAAAATCAATCATTATAACAAAACAAACAAACAAAAAAAAAATATAGCAGAAGTTGCACTAATATAAAATAAAATTTAATGTGTATATTTTTTAGCTAATAATTTTTTGTTTTGCTTTTTTTTTTTTTAAAAATCATTAATTATTTTTGTTATTGTTTGTAATGAGATATTGTCTAAATAAATATTCTTGTTTGCAAGATGATAAAGAAAAGTTTTTTTATTCTATTTATTTTATGATTTCTTTTTTTTATGAGCCTTTTTTTTTTTTTACTTTTACTGAACATTTTTGATGGAAAAGTTAGATTGATAAAAATAAAATTTACTTTGTTTTTTTTTAACTTAATTTTTTTTTTAATTACATCTGTAAATACCGCTAATATCAAATGTAATTGTCACACAAACTTTTTTATGTAATTAACTTTATTTTTACGTATTTATCTGAACATTGTATAGTACGTGTGTGTGTATATATACATACATACATACATACATACATACATACATACATACATACATACATACATACATACATACATACATACATTACATACATACATTACATACATACATTACATACATACATACATACATACATACATACATACATACATACATACATACATACATACATACATACATACATACATACATACATACATACATACATACATACATACATACATACATACATACATACATACATATATATATACACAGCGTGGAAAATAAATAATCAAAGACGAGCAATCAATTTGGCCAGCTAACACACATAATTGATGGTCAATTATTTTTTTGAAAAGTCAAAATTTTTGTTTTTTTCTTTGTTTTAATTTTTATCCTAGTAATAGATCTTTATGACTGAATTTTATATATAAAAAAATAATTAAATGTTTGAAAATTTATTAATTCGTATTTTATTTAAAACAATAATGCATTTTTTAAAAGGAAACACAAATAATTAACATTTAAATTACCAGCTGATATTAATAGTTTAAAAAAACTCTTGCGCACAGATTTTATTTAATTGAAAAAGGAAGTTTGACACCATCCAAGTAATTTAACTTACAAAAAAATTTTATTTTGTAAGTTAAATTAAAAACAAGTTATTTTAAATATTAAAATGCATACCTAATATTAAAAAGAAATTGTATTGCGAAAACTTCTACTTGAAATATAACTTTAAATGTATTCTTAAATTTATTTTGCCTGATTCATTAATTTATAATTAATGTTAATTACATAATAGTCACAAATTAAAGTAGCAAACTTATAATACGTAAAAAACTTAGGTTAACGCAGTATCGTAAGCAATAAAACTATTTTCAAAAATCAAATAATTTCATAAAATTTTAGTATATGCATTTTTCAAAAAACATCCTGATTGTTTGTTAAACTTTATTTTTTTTTTAATTCTGATTTTTTTCAACCGGTCAACCATGACCGGCAAAAACTCATTTTGGGAGGTTAAACTACTAATTTTAGTCATTTTGGCCAGTCGTTGACCGGCCTTAATTTCCCACGATGTGTGTGTGTGTGTTTGTGTATATATATATATATATATATATATATATATATATATATATATATATATATATATATACATATATATATATATATATATATATATATATATATAAAATTTATTTCTGAAAATAAATTTTTCTTTTAAAATTATTAAAATGTAAAAATTATATTATAATGATTTTAAACTAAAATTGACTTGAGACTTACCTAGGTGAAAAACTATCAGGGACCAAAATACTCTGAAAAAATTCTAATTGATACAGATAAATAAGAAGGAGATGAAGACCTGAATATATAGTAAGAATGGTTTTTACAAAAAAATGCAATCCACTTTTCATAGAAGAAATGTGAAAAGCCCAACAGATTCCAAAACCAATATATGTTAAAAAATAAACTGATGACAAAACATTTGGCTGTGCTATCCCAGTAAGAAGTAACAAAAGCACTGATATGATGGATATATATTCTTCAATAAAAGTAGTGCTTTTTTTATTAACAACTGCACGTTCTTCATCTGAATATCGAGCATGGAAGCCACGAGATAATAAGTATGCAACCAAAGATGTTATAAATACACACACATCAGGGACAACCAATCTTATAACATCAATGACTTTAGAATCATCTAATCTGAAAATAAATTTTACAACTAATTTTAAAATAATGGACTGGACAAAAAAAATATAGACAAGTTTCTGTTAAACACAGAAAATAAACTCAAAAACATAAAACAAACCTATCAAACCCTATCTGATGAGCAATATTTCCTGAGGTTGTACCTAAATTAAACACACATAAATTTATTAATTTGACAATAATAAAATATAGTGACAAAATCAAAAAATTTAATAATACCTATAATATAAATCATATATATGTTTATTATTGCAATAAATAATGTTTTGAAATTGCTGGTAGTGCATGCAATATGTGAAAAAGAACATAATGCTAAACTAATCATAATATGAGAATGTATTAAACACATTCTCATATTATGATTAGTTTAGCATTATGTTCTTTATGAGATAATAACTCGATTGCCAGCATGCTTTAAGATTTTGAAATCAAATATAGAAATTTCTTAAATAAGCATTTACATTTACCGAATAAGAATATATAAATAACAAAACATTCTAGCATAATTCAAATAAAGGCATAATGCTTCATTATACGTCATATATACATTACTTTAAACTATTGAACAAACTTCAAACACGCTTCAAAATCAATTAAATAAATATATTAAAAAAATATTGTACAGATGACACAAAAGACTTGTTCTTACACCTTTTAAAATTAGTAGAATGCTTTATTCAAAAAAGCCATACACCAAAATTTAAATCCTCTGTTATTTATAAATTTGTAAAACTGTAATGTTAGGTTTATTGGTGAAATTACCAAACACTACAAAACAAGGATTTCAGAACATTTAATATGATATAATATAATATATATGCATGTTTATATGATGCTGTTTTGAAGTGAATATACTATCAAGAAAGTGCTTGATGAACTGAGTCAGAGCTTTAATATAGCAGAAAATAAAACTACGTGATTTTCACAACTTTAAGTTTCATGCTTTTGCAATCATCAGGTGAAATACAAATATAGTTTTTTTATAAAAAAATAATATACAATTGAAACTAGTTACGTAAAACTATATATAAAAAGCTATTGTTACAAGCATTTTAAAAAAAATTATTTTTATATGATTGTTTGTGGTTCACATACCTATTCTTCCACATGCCCTATGATAAACAAATGAATGCTTTGCAAGGGTGTGTTTGGGGAAGATATTATGCATTTGTAAATTATATTTATTGCTCTACAATATTTATTCAGCAGGCAGATTTCTTCTTTGTCATAGTCTTACAAAATTGTTCTCCAGAACTCTCTTCAATTCTCTCTAAACTGTTTAATAAGTGCTTGACTGAGCCTTGCTTTCATGCCTGCTGGAAAATGGCATCTGTTGTTCCAATTTTCAAAAACTCCGATGAACATTTTGACCCCTCCAATCATTGTCCAATCAGCCTTCTTTCTGCTATTAGCAAGGTCTTTGACTCTTTGATAAATAAATTTTAAACATCCCATCTTGAGTCAAATAACTTACTGTCAGACAACTATGGCTGACTAGCTAAATGCTGTGACTGAAAGATTTCAGTCACAGCATTGACTGAAGATTGTGAGGCTAGGACTGTTGCTCTTGACATATCTTAGCTTTATCATATTGACATATCTTAGCTTTCGACAAAGTTTGGCATGCTGGTCTTCTGCATAAGCTTGTTCTATATGGTGTATCTGGGAATGTTTTTTAGATTATAAAATTGTTTCTTTCTAACCGCTTTATTAAAGTCATCTTTCATCAAAGCTATATATACAATCGATTGCTAAATTAGGATCTGTTAAGGTGTTTCTCTTTATCATGCTCACTTTTTTCTCTCTTCTGATTCTATTTTTTACCTCTGCAAATCTCTAATTCGTCATTGTATAGAATACTGTTTGAAATATCATATATTTGGGCTGATTTTTCAATGATGCTTGTTCTCTTCTAGACAAGATCCAAAAACGCATTGTAAACGTAGTTAGACCCACTCTATCTGCTAAGCTTGAGCCTCTTTCCCATTGTCGTAAAGTTGCATCTCTTTCTCTTTTCTACAAATACTATCATGATCCCTGCTTAAAGGAGCTATCATCTCTAGTTCCACCAACTAAAACATTCTCGTTTGACTCCTCATTCAGCAAAGTCTCATCCTTTTACTGTATCTGTCCCTGCATGCTCTAAAAACTTTTATATATCTAGTTTTATTCCCCGAAAGTAAACCCTTTGGGACTCCCTCTCATCTTCATGTTTTCCTGACTCATAAAACCTTCAATTTTTTTATGTCTTCTGTCAACTGTTTCCTTGCTCTATAACTCTTTTTTTTTTTTTCTAGTAACTTCTAACTTAATAGTGGTTGCTTATAGCCTTTTTAAGAGTGAATCAGAATAAAAAATAATAATACTTACATATGAAAATTGAAATATATAATTTATGGCAACAAATTTTGAAAACTATAACTGTTATTTTTTTAAATTTATTTGGTGTTACTTGAATAAGGCCAAGGAACTTTTGTATAAGACCAAGGTTTATAGTATAAATGTTGGATATTCTATAGTCACTATAAATGTCTAAAACGGCACATCTCTTTTCTTTTACAAACCTCAACTAAATTTAAAAAAATAAACAACTATTTGTTTTTCTGACAACCACCTTTTGCATTATAACTGTAAAAATGATTACCTAATGCAAAAAATGTGATTACCCAAGTCTTAACTGTTGTCACACTCTCACATAAATAATTGTTACACACTCACATGTTGATTGCAACATCTTGTTCAGCTTATACAACCAACACTTAATAAAAACCAATGCAGATTAAAAAATCACTTAACAAAAACCAATGCAGAGTAAAAAATTCATCATCTTTTGTATTAAAAACAAAAGATTAAGTTAATGAAGAAAATGTATAATGAAAAAAAAATCATTTGCCGTAATGCCAATCCAAATTCTGTTAGTTGTATTACTAATAACTTAAATGATGATAAAGATGATCGTTTCCAGGTTTTCCAGGTTGCTGGCCACCCTGATAAAACTCACCATTAGAAGTCTTATTTTAAAATTAGAAAAACTTTTTATAATAATACGCATCATTAACTTAAATAACTTATTATAGACTATATATTAACTTTATTGACAACAGGCTTCATCAATCACAATTGAAATCATCAGGTTTAATGGCAAAAAATTTTACAATTTCGTATACATAAAAAATTTGGTCACATTTAAATTTAATTACTAAAGAAATGTTACAATAGTTCCATAAAATAGAATATTTACAGAGTTATGGAATAGTTTTAAATATAATAGATGATGAGAGATGTTTAATAATACATTAGGTTCTATCTTAGTTTAGATCTTTTTATCTGAGTTTCTATCTGAGAATTCTATCTGAGTTATGATGATCAAAAATTCTTATTGTATAATGTCAAGTGCTTTCACCAATCTAACTAGCATTACAGGCGTACAAATTTATATACAACAAAAGATGTTAGTAAAAGGTCATGCTACCAATTTTGAAAGATGTCAAAAGTAATTTGGCTTTGATGTTTTCCTAACACTATTTTTTGATATATTTATTTAACTGATGCTGATAGGTATTTTAGATTTGTTTAAGAGGTTTAAAGAACGTATATTTTTGTTAGGAAAGATTGTTGAGCATAGATTTTTAAGTTTTGTCAACTAAATTAAGAGAAAAAGAATTATTTTGAAAAATTCAATTTTTTTAATGTCTACATGAAAGCTAATCCAACTCCTGTTAACTTTAAACACCCTATCAAAAAGAATTTTAATAAACCCTAATTTATAATTAATACTGGTGAAGCTTTTGAAAATCAATAAATAGATCTGTGTAGATTTTTTACCAAAGATTAATGCATCAAATTTTTGATTTTAAAACAAATTTAAGATATTTATTTTAACTATTAATATTATTAACAAACTTAACAGTTGTTATAGCATAAGTTAAATTATCTAAAATATTCTTAAATTCTTATTCTAAATTATCATAGATTATTTAGCTTATTTAAAAACTTTTTTATTTTTAATAAGGCTAAATTATCATGTCAAACCTGTGTTTGTTTTTTGTTTTCAAAGCAACAAATAAAGCTGCTAACAGCTTCTTTATTTTCTTTCAACTTTTTAGGTAAAAATCTTAGTAGTTAACAGTCAAGAAGATTTTAATGTTTTGTTTATTAACATTAGTTTTAACTGCAAACAGATTTGGTATCTGCTTATTAAAGCTGAAATTTTTTTAGTACTCAAAACCCTGCAACAACCTTTTTCTCAGATTCCAGCTAATTCCTATTAAAACAAGATTTTAAAATACTTATGTGAAAACACGCTACTATATTATACTGTAAAAAATTCTTTAAATTAATAAAAATAATGAATTACAACACCCCAAAAAAAAATTAAAAACTTACACAACTTGACGAAATGACCATAAGGCTTATAGGACAAAAGAACAATTTGGAAACCAGCTTGAGCAACAATAAACACAGTTGAAGTTAAAAGCAGTAATGTTTGTAATCGTATTGCACCCTCTAAAAAAATGCAATTACAGTAATTACTGTTTTAAAACTATACTTGATTCATTATGTTTATCATTATATTTATAATGAATTTATTGTAAATATATTTTTCTATTATATTCATATTCATTTCTTTTTCCATCAGGGTTGGTTGATGTTAGGGATATTTTAAAAAACTCTTTTTTCAATCTTAACTTAAATAAATACTTGGAACCAATTTATATAAATATTTGGTTACAACTTTTTGGTTTTTGGTTAAAAACCAATAACCAAAAAGAATCAGATCCTTTTACAAAAAAACAATTATTTAGCTATATAAAAAACGTTTTTTTTTTTTAAAAAAATCAAAACGAGCAAAAATTAACTATTATGGGATGGGTGACTGATAGAGAAAAACATTTTATAAAAGGTCTTTAAGTGCTACTGTATGGGTCACCTCTTACTCTAAAGCCACTTAATAGAGAAACTTGGAATATAAAAATGTTACAGAAGTAACCTCTCCTTTTGCTTTAAAACATGGGTGCAAATGTTAAAACATTTTTTAACATTTGCACCAAACATAATTTAAATACATATAAATTGATACAATATATGTATGTATATATATATATATATATATATATATATATATATATATATATATATATATATATTGTAATTATGTTGTGGTAAACTCTAAAAACAGTTAGTGACAACTATGCGGTTTGTGATTAGCATAATTCTTAATTAGTAATTATATTTAATATATTTACACGGTTTTAAATGAGGTTTGTAGTATAATATAAATTATCGATTGATTTTGTATCAAGGAGGTGAAATAGAAGTTAGTTTAATGATGAGATAGATAAATAAAATGTCTCTATGTGTTTTCTTGCGAGGAAATTACATATGTGTATATATATATATATATATATATATATATATATATATATATATATATATATATATATATATACATATATATATATATATACTATATATATATATATATATATATATATATATATATATATATATATATATATATATATATATATATATATATATATATATATATATATATATATATATATATATATATATATATATATCACTTATTAGTATATATAAATTTAGATGAAATACTTTTAATACAAATCAATTAGGTTTTAAATGTAAAGCAGGCTTGGTCGGGAAGCGGGTGCGATCACACTCTATATTTGACCACGGAAATTATATTTAGTTGCGAAAAGCCGGCCAGATTTTTTATGCGTTTTGAGAACATTTCAAAAACAAGCAAAAAAGCGCAATAAGATAAACTGGACCGATGAGAGACAGTTAAAAAAAAAAAAATAGCTTTTAACGCAAAACTTTAAGCAAAATAAATACGTTTCAAAAATATTAGAGCAAATATTTTTGAAACGTCGCTCTTTTATAATTTTTTTTTTTAAAAAAAAAGCGACATTTTTTGTATATAGTAACAACGTACTAATAATATTGTTTAATAAAGAAACAAATGTTCTTTAATTTATCAAAGATTATATATAATTTTTATTTATATACTTATGTCTTATTTCCAGTGCTGAAAATAAGAGGTGGGGGGGGGGGGGTAGAAGATCTATAGTCCCGGGACAAACAATGTTGTGGGCCGAGAAATAGTCAAGAGGTCCTATCGGAGTTTTTGAGTCATTTTTACGTTGTCGCACATAAAAAAGACCACCAAAATAATGCAGCCCCCGGCCCTGTAAAGTCCAACAAGATTAAACCAATAAAACTAACGCTACATAATTTAATTATAAATAAAAAAAGTTTTTTCAGTACCTGTTTTATGCTTTGCGTAGTTTGAAAAGTTTAACATATTTGAAACAATTCTTCTTAGTAAGATGAACAAATGAAATAACTAAATCATTGAGTTACTGTGGAAATTTAATTAGCTAGATAGAAATTAACTAAAAACGTTAAATTACTTTGTAAGGAGGAAGCGGAACTGCTTAACAATAGCGCTGATGATGTTTAGTTTAGTGGCTTTATATCTTTAACTAGTATTTTACAGAAAAAAAAAACTTTAAGTGTAAGTATAACGATTTTGTAAGAATGGCTGAAGCAAAAATAATTGAAGTTAATAAACCAATTTCTAATACATTACATACATATAAATACGTCCCTTGTATATAAAAAATAAGATTATACTAATTAAATCTATAATATATTTACAAAACATTGACAAGTTAAAAAATATAAATTTAAAACATTTATTTTTGTAAACAAATGTTAGTTTAAAACATTTATATCTTTATGGATGTGACTCCGAGAATGAGCCATTGTATTAAAATTATTGTTCGTTTGATAGTATATTCTTAAAACAATTGATGCTAGAATTCTCAACGAAAACATAACACAAAAACAAAAACAAAAAAAAAAGATTTTGAAAAATAATTCAACAGAATACTCTAGAACAGTCGCTTGAATTCTTTAGTAATTTCAGTTATTTATTTATTGAACCAATAGAATTAGTTGTTCGTAAATTTGGCGGGATTTTGGGTTCGCGAATATTCTTTATTTATTTTTCCGCACTAAGATGTTTGACAACATTCAAGTTTATATAAGTTTCCATGTATGTCCGTAAAACAAAATCTTTTAAAATTTACAATAAAATGAACTTGTTATTTTGCGGACAAACAAGGAAACATACATAAACTGAAATGTTCTCAAAACGCCTGAAAAATCTGGCCGGCTTTTCGCAAGTAAATATAATTTCCGTGGTCAATTATCGAGTGCGATCGCACCCGCTTCCCGACCAAGCCTGGTAAAGCCAATTCAATTTTAAAAAAAATTTTATAAAACTACTCAAAACTAAAAACGAAAAAATTAATGATAAGCTTTATACAAAATAAAATGATCAAAGATTAAGAGTCACTTTGCATCTTCATCTAGCCTAACTTATATAATCATGATATGATATGAAATTTTATACACATTAAGATTAAGTATATAAATTATAAATAAAACTTGAAATTTAACTTAAAATGTAATTGTTTATATTTAATAACTAAATATGCTTTAACAAACTGTTGGGCTCAAGCAAGCATAGACTGAAGATTTTCAAAATGGCGTGAGAAAATAACAATGGGGTAAAAAGTGGAATGGCCTGATGTTCAAGGTCTTTGCCATTAGGTTGCTACAGGAAGCATGTGCAGAGAAAGTAAATAAATAAACCTAAAACAATCAAAATAATATATAATGTAACATAAAATCTAAAAATTTTATGTTACATGATAAATTAATTTTTAAAGTTTGAAATTTTAAGGATTGAAAAAATACTTATTTTGTTTTTATGTTTAAACCTTTAATCAAATAATTTAAATTTAATACTTAAATATTTAAATATAATACATACTCAATGACTTCATTCATATTTTATTATAAGTATATGTCATTGATAAAAGATTAAAATGTAACTTAGATCCATATTACCCCACTAAACGGGGTATTGTGGGTCTATAAAATACAACTCAAATTGGTGCTATTTAGACATCTTTAAAAATTATATATAAACTTTTTTTGATGTAGTTTATTAAAAATGATGTCTAATCATGATTTTATTTTTCGTTTTCAAAAAAAATTAGTTGTTTTGATATATATGTTTTTTTGCACAGAAGTCAGAAATAGATAAAAATAGGCTCAGATTACCACACACTACCCTACAAACATTGCCAAAGTTAAAAATTGATTTATTAAAATTAATAAATTATGCTATGTGATAATCTTTTAAATAAAGTAACAACTTACTTTTGATCAGTGTTTATTGTCTTATCAAAATGTTTATTTAAATCATCAAAGAATATTGTAACTTATTTTTTATTTAAAAAGTAATTTTTATGATAAATAACTTTGATATTTAAAAATAACTTTGATTAAATGTTTTTATATATTTAATGATTGTTTATAAATAAACACATTTTAACAAAATTATCAAAATAGAATTTTATATAATTTTTTTATATAAATATGTATTTTTATTTATGTAAATAAAAATACAAATGCTAATAATTTATCAAATCAATAGAATTGTCATTTCTTTTTCTAAATTTATTTTATTTTTTTATTTAGTAAATAAAGTTTTTTCATAAGAAAGAAACATCTTTTTTTAAAAAAAAAATTTCTCTGTAGTAAACAAAAGAAAAAAGTAATTAAACTTAACTGTTAATAACTACGGTATTAGAATACCTAACTTGGAAAATTTGACCTTTCCTTAAAACTTCCAAATTATTTATTTTTTTTAGTTTTTTAAGTTTATTATTGAAAATGATTTTTAAAAAAAGTTTATTTTTTTTTTTTTTTCTTTCAATAAAATTTTTTTTTTAAATATTTAATACATTTTTTTTTTTAGTTCGCTTTTTAATTTAGTTCAGGTTATTAATTATTATTATTATTAATTAATGCTGTTGAGATAAAGCGCCAGGCAATATCTATGACAGCCGGTAAAAATTAATTAATGAACAAGTTAGTTCAGTCACTAAATAATAAAAAACGTTAATAGTAAGCTTTCTTGGTTTTTATCTTGTTTGTTATTGCTTCTAAGTCGACCGATTGCAAGTTTAATTTGAAGCTTTTAACTGTAGTAGATTGAACAACTTCGGCTGGTAGACTATTCCATCCATCGACAACTCTATTGCTGAAAAAATATTGCCTTTTCAAACAATTTCTGACCAAATCAGGTTTCATTCGATGTTTTGCTCCTCTAATGTTAGCTGCAGGACCTGATGAGCAAATAGAGTTCATTGTTTGATTTTGTTTAATATCAATGATTTCAATACCTTTAAATATTTTGAATTGCTGGATTAAATCGCACCTTAGCCTTCTAGTCTCCAAAGTAGTCAAACCCAAAATTTCTAATCTTTTTTTGTACTCAAGATGTCTAAGCTCCGGTATCATTTTGGTAGCTCTTCGTTGGACTTTTTCTAGTTCATTAATATCTTTTGTATAATATGGACTCCATGCTTGAATTGAAAACTCTAAATTTGGTCTAACAT